CTCGTTAGTGTTACAAGGTAACGATGTGTGATCAGGTGTGAATGGGGAGCAGGTGTATTAAACTTAGGGGTGTACTTACTTTTGTTGCCAGCGGTTTAGACATGAATGGCTGTGTGTTGAGTTATTTGGAGGGGACAGCAAATGTACACTGATATACAAGCTGCACACTCACTACGTTACATTGCAGCAAAGCGTCATTTCTTCTGTGTCGTCACATGACATGATATCATCCAATATTTACACACATGTGAGGTGTGTACTCACTTCTGGGAGATACTGTATATGGTGATTATAAAGTCTGCAACAATGTATCCTCCTGCAGACTTCCAATCCTCTCCAGTCTAGACACACACCGGGGTGAGAACACAATCACCTGGTGATAAGGAAATCTCACCCGAGCTCTTCAACCTTTTATCACTGAAGGTGAAAAGTGCGATAATATTGGATGACGGCATTCCGGGATTTCCGCGGAATAGTTCACAAAACAAGCAAACAGAGACGATTCCGGAGCGTGATTCTATTTATTGAAAGCAGAGATTACGGAAGAGGACTCGCAGGGAGCGCACAGAGCACCGCGTGTAGAAAATGCCGCACGCCTGGCACTCGGTCCCATCATACACTAGGTCAGGGGCGCCCACAATTTTTGTGTTAAGATTTACTTTTTAAATGACGAGCTACATGAGATCTACCAACGAAAAAAACACCTCCCTCGTTTTTTCTCTCTCCTGACTGTCTCTCCTCTCTCTCCTGGCTGTCTCTCCTTGCTCTCTCTCCTGGCTGTCTCTCCTCATTCTCTCTCTTTCCTGGCTGTCTCTCCTCTCTCTCTTTCCTGGCTGTCTCTCCTTGCTCTCTCTCCTGGCTGTCTCTCCTCATTCTCTCTCTTTCCTGGCTGTCTCTCCTCTCTCTCTTTCCTGGCTGTCTCTCCTTGCTCTCCCCTGGCTGTCTCTCCTTGCTCTCCCCTGTCTGTCTCACCTCTCTCTCTCCCCTGGCTGTCTCTCCTCGCTCTCTCTCCCCTGGCTGTCTTTCCTCTCTCTCTCCTGTCTGCCTCTCCTTGCTCTCCCCTGGCTGTCTCTCCCCGCTCTCTCTCTCTCCCCTGTGGCTGTCTTTCCTCTCTCCCCTGGCTGTCTCTCCCCGCTCTCTCTCCTGCCTCACCTTGCTGTATTTTGCTGTGTAAAGTAATATTCTTTGATGTAATACATAGCACTACAACCCCCAGCATCCCCCAGAAAGGTGTCGGGGAGCTCGGCGCAGCAGACTCGGGCTGATAGGTAATCATGTGTGCACAGCTAAATAAATATACCAACATGGAATAAAGGGGCCGCCAT